CTGAGTGAAACGTAAACCATGTAATGAAGCCAAACGAGAATTTGAATCCCGGACCTGTGATGATTACTCTGCCGCTCTAACATACGGAGCAACCTGGGCAACTGTACAACCCTGGTCTGGTTATATTAACAAGAGGCCCAATTGCAAGGTCACCTGAGTTATATCATAGATACTGGTAGCTTTATTTTATTGTTTAGATGTGATGTGGAAATCAGCATGTAAACTAAGTGAAATACAATACTTGTCATGTCATCAAAGGATAAGAATTTTAAAATATTGGTAAATTTTCCCTTTGGGGCCCCGCCCTAGCCTCTGGGGATTGGGCAGAAATCCTAATTTTACAATGTAATACCCTCATTCACCAAAGATGATTCTGACTAAGTCTGACCCCTTTGGGGCCCCATGGTTTGGGGTAGGAATCCCATGTAAAAAGTTTACCCACGACGGACGACGATGGACGGAAAGCGATTAGAATAGGTCACTTGAGCAAAGCTCAGGTGACCTAAAAAAGAATTGAATGGGAGGTTACTTCATATACGAAAAACTGTAGTGGAATTCTCTAGTGTTTTAACCTACAATTAGACAGCTGGGATCCTTTGAAGGAAAAGACAATTTTACAGAAAGAATGCAATCTGGGGCTGTGCAAATTGGGTGTACCTAAATTATTTGATGTAATAAGGGCACATAATCGAGTAACTATGTCCCCAGTGATTGAACAATTTAATTTGAAAGGTTTTCATTTTTTTTCTCCCCATTTTGGATTTTGTAAGTATGCTGAATAAAAAGAAAAGTGAAGAGGAATAATATCTGCCAATATTGTGACCAATGCAACCTGTCAGAATGATGCACCTCATCTCTTGTTATAGGGGAATTCTACTTTGGAATGGGATAAAGATATTACAGTATCTCTCTCATGATTGGAAAATAGTCAAATATTAGGTATGCTATTAAGGAAATTTTAAAGGTGCCCCATTAGTCATTAAGTGATTAACCTGCACCAGCTGGTGCCCATATTAGGTCAAGTACAGTATAAATTGTAACTATGAACTTATTCACCCCTGAAATTTCATAATAAACTATACAAACCTTTGAATTGGAAGAGTTCAAATGTGTCTTCAGGGGTGAATTAGTTAACTGTATACATGTACATGTATACGTAATAGGTCTATTGCAGCGGTCAACAATTGAACTGCACGCTACATGTATAAAAGTTCTGTGCATTATGTGTGTCACCACTTTATTAATGGTTTATGTTTGATATACACATATAGGTCAGGGATGTTTATATCATAAATGTATGTCACTTTAATCATCAAGTGTCGCATCACTCAGTTGTTGAAAGGCTTGTTCAACTTAACAGGAAACAAACATGTTTTTTTTCCGGTTATATGTCTGAAAAAATTAGGGTAGGTAGAAGGTTTATATATAAATTTAGAAACAGTGATCATGACTTTAACATGGCTTTCTTGAAAATTGCTAAAACAGTTAAGGTTAGGCACAAAAGACATGAAGGTATGAAAGATGAAACAACGAAACAACACAAATCTGCATCTGTAAGTTTCTGTTATTTCATTCAGCATCATGAGCACAAGTAGCTGTAAACTAAATCACAGCTCTTTAGTCTTCAGTCTATATCCAGTAAATACTTAAGCTGCAAAGGTGTAATAGGAAAATAACAAGGCAAAGTATTGCAAGGCAATCGATAGTCCCCCACCGGTGATGATTTCTATATTTAACGAAGAGTACATTTATGTCAGGAAGCATAGATCACAGTGAGGCCATAGTGACTTACTTCTTGCACTCCGTCATCCCAAGATGTCCATGTACACCAAATCTGGTTACTCCAGGTGAAAGAGTATAGAAGATATGCCCCCAACAAAACTTTTTGAAAATTAAAGGTCAAAGTTCAAAGGTCTAATCATACTTCAGTGACCTAATTCTTGCACTCTGCCATCCCAAGATGTCCTTGTACACCAAAACTGGATACTCCAGGTGATATAGTAGAGAAGATATGTCCTGGACAAACACTTTTAAAAAGTGAAGGTCAAAGGTCAAGTCATAGGTCACAGTGACCTTCTTGCAATCTGCACTCCATCATACCAAGATGTCATTGTACACTAAATCTGGTTACTCTAGGTGAAATTGTATAGAAGATTAGCCACAGACAAACATTTTCAAAGGTGAAGGTTAAAGGTCAAGTCATAAGTCACAGTGACCTAATTCTTGCACTCTGTACTCTGTCACCCCAAGATATCCTTGTGCACCAAATCTGGCTACCCCAGGTGAAATAGTATAGAAGAAATGCTCCGGATAAACATTTTCAAAAGTAAAGATCAAAGGTCAAGCCATAGGTCACAGTGACCTAATTCTTGCACTCTGCACTACGCTATCCCAAGATGTCCTTGTACACCAAATCTGGTTACTCCAAGTTAAATAGGACAGAAGATATGTCCCGGACAAACTTTTTCAAAAGTTAAGGTCAAAGCATAGGTCACACTGAGGTCATAAAGACCTTTTTCTTAAACTCTGCACCCCGCCATCCCAAGATGTCCTTGTATACCAAATCTGGTTACTCCAGGTGAAATAGTATAGAAAATATGCCCCGGGCAAACTTCTCGGACGGATGGAAAGACGGAAGGAAGGATGGACGGAGTGCAAACCTATAATCACCCCAGCTGGGGGACTAATAAAGACAAGCAAATTCGTGGAATTTATATCTCCCGCTTGCAGGACATATTGTAGGTAAACATTATTGAGGTTAGGTTGAAACATATGAGCATCGTGCTGATGAGTCATAATGTATAGCTTGCAACTCGAAGAAAAAAAAAAGCCTTATACAGAAGTTAGACTTTTTATTGAACATGTATGTATTACAGTGTAAATGAATTGTTTAATACATCAGATTTTACTAACCTCATTAATAATCTGTAAATATGCACAAATCACATCGGTTGGCAAACTTAGCATGAGTCGGATGTGCATACGGAATTTGGTTGAAATATCTGTACAATATCTACAGCAATTATCACACGAAAACCAAACAGTGCCCGAGATGGGTGGAAAGACAGAGAAACACAAACATTGTTATCAAGTTTGAAGGAATTTGACTAATATTTGCTAGAGTTATTAAGCGGAAACTGCAGATAATGTTCTTCGTTACTCAAGGGGCCATAACTCTGCCAAATGGAGTCTGATTTAAGTGGTTGTCAAATTTAGCTGACCTCTTAATGCGTTGAACCCTGTTACTAAGTTTGAAGACAATTGAATACTATTTGCGAGAGTTAATGAACAGAAACGGCAGATAATGATGTTTTTCGTTATTCAAGGGGCCAAACTCTGCCAAATAAAGTTCGCTGAAAGTGGTCATTGAACTTGGCCGAGCCCTTAAGGCATTTAACCCTGTTACTAAGTTGGAAGAAAATCGGTTAACATTTGTTGCAGTTATTGCACGGAAACGAAGCGTGACAGACAGACTGACAGACGGACATACCCAAATTAATATCCCACATTTCGGTGAAAGCGGGGGATAAAAAGGATACACACTGTATATGTTGAGGATCAAACCCACAACCCCATACATTGTAGTTGGACACTCTACCACTAAACCGAAGCTCTAAGTAAGGTAACTTTGACATCTCCATGTACATTAATGCATTTAGAAGTATTAGAGATAATGCAGTCTCATTTGTTTAAAGCTAAATTAGACTCATTTACATAACAAAGCAGTTAAAAGATGAGATCATCATAATAAATTAGATAAGAAAACAGATCTACATATTGATGATTTTTTTTAAATGGTTTAATTACTGACATCACTTTTAAATTTAGTTAAGCAATTATAAAAATATGAATAAGAAGCATGGATGATTCTCAAGTACTTATTTCCTGTCAGATTATTTTTATATATTCAATAGTTCCTGTATTACTTTGTATATGTAGATTGACATAATGCGATGGTTTGCCAGAATTCATGTCCAGCTGTATTCATGAAACTGTTCTAATGATGGTAAAGCATGAATTCAGTGCTAAAACAAACTTTTTGTATTGATGTATCTTGCTAAAATGAAATCATTTGATTGATTATAAAAGTAATAGAGCTAACATCAGTTGTAGGTTTGTAAGTTGATCAGTGGGGTACTTCAATTCACTCTAAAATCATAAGTCATATATGATGCGACAGTCAAAAAGTAAAGTCTAGACACAATGAGTGGTCAGAACTTGTGTTTGAGAATCAGAACAGTTTCTTGAATACTGGTCCTGAACCATGTAGGGTGCAGGTGTGGCAGGATGTGGTGGGGTAGCTAGGGAGAGGCAAGGTGACCAGGTGAAAATGGTGAGAGAAAAAAAAAGAGTTCTAAAAAGCAAGATTTTTTATTTAAAAAAATTATGGAGAGCAGGCCACAAGATCAATTTTAGGGAAAATTTAATTACTTACATTAATTACAGATCATTTAAAATAACTTTTTCCAATTTTTGGTGTTAGTATAATGAGAGGTGGTTTTACTCCGCATAGGTCCCTCAGTGCAACAATTACATGTATACGATAGAGAGGCAAACCTGTCTGGCACTGGTCTTCGGGGGACTTGATCTGGGTTAATTATTGATAATTGACGATTTAATTGACAACTACATGTACTTTCTGTATGGTTGTCAGATCTAAATCATTTATAATCCCTTTCTCCAATCACTATTACACACTTTCGAATAATTATTCATACCGTACATACAGATGCAATATATTTTATATACTGGTGTTAAGAACCCAGAACTGCAATAATGGGACATTTTTGCCAGTTGAACCAGCTCTGATTTTAATCTGTTATGAATACAAAATATTATAAACAGATAAATTCTGATATCATATCTATCTCATTCATAATGTTAAATAAAAAACGCTACATGTATATAAATATATATATATGCATATCTGATAGAAGTTCCTGAAGCTTTTATAAAGTCATCAATGATCACTTACAGTTTAGTATGTATTGTATACTTACGTATCTGGGCCGATGAAAACACCAGAAGGAGTTCTATAAACAGCCAACGGAAGCCTTCCATTACTCTAAAGTTGATAGGATAATGTATCCACAAGATGGAGATCGCAGTCTAAGATTCAGCTATCTAAAAAACTTCGAAAGAAAATTCCAAATAAGTGATATTATGTCTGATCACTTGATATATCCATTGTAAAGTCGCTTTCCAGTGGTATTCGATATCCCATGTTTGAATCTGACTCAGGCGACTTTAAAATAACTTTTATGACAAGGCTCAGAAGGTAAAGGTACTTGACATAGTTTGAGGGGGAGTTCCTGTGTTGTAGTACGGCTGTTCCATCAACTTAACAACCCACTGAAAATGAAAAGAAAGTGCATGCAAACTTTAACTTTGTTTGCATTATCACCTGTCAACTTTATAAATAAACACACATTCATGCATAACCTATCTTATGTGACAAGAAAATAAATGTCAGTGTGGTTTAAATGATTTCATTTGTTTTCTAAAAACACGAAGGTAAAAATAACATCAAGGGAATCCCCTGTACACGTCATTTCTCATGCCGGATGTGTTTCCATTCGTTTCTGCGCAAGATCGGTTTTACAGGAAAATCATGGCGAACACAGTGAGTTGACAAAATAAACCGGTTGCAAATTATGTTATTTATTCCGATTTAAAATTTAAAATTAACAAATTGATTAGCATGGATTCTTTTAACAACAATAGTATTTTTCAAGAATTTGCTGTAACGTTAGTAAATAGTTCTAAACACCAAGAGATTATAGTTTGTTGATAGGCATAGCCGATCATAACATGACAGTAATATTTTTTAGAGACAATCACATGGTGTATTGAAAACGTGTGTAAAGGATTTGCATTGATAAAATGGCCGATGTTAATAAAGGTATAATGAGAGTAGTGTCTATGTATCTATGGAAGATTAGTGTCTGCAGGCAAAATAATGTAGAAAAATCAAAATCGTTGGTAATGATACATGGGGGGGGGGGGGGGGGGGGGGNNNNCATTAACATTTCATACTTGCCAACTCTCCCTATTTTGGAGAAAGACTCCCGATTTTTGACTTTAAGATTGAGTTTTTTCAACCAATGAATTAGCTGAAATATCTTTGTTTCTTAAGATCTGATGATTACATTGGAAAGAATAAAGGTCAAAAGCTCAATTTAATAGTGTTAGTTTTTCTCTAGGTGTACAGTATATTCACACTTTTATTTTAGCCCGAGTTTCTGCTGGCCCAGTGATACTAGACTTACACATTTTGACAGATAGATGTCTTTTGAGCCCAAGTTTCCTCTGGCCCTGACACTAGACTTAGACATTTTGACAGATAGATGTCTGTTGTGGGGCCATCCAGAGCGCAATACTATATGAAAATGACAAATTCTCTGACAACGTTTGGTATCAGAGAATTTTGAGGTGCTGACATCAAAATCTATTAGCTACGACACAACACATACCTCATATTTATCGATAAATTGATTATTTATTGATCCAAACGATTAATCTGCCCTTATTTTCACCAACACTCTGTTGAGCGAACACCATTTTGTAGGTCATTGCAGTGGCTAATAAACAAACCGTACTGATCCGGACCGAAAACTGGAAATATTATTCTTGTTTAGAATATTTCTATTGTCTTTTTGTTGATTTGTCAACTAGTGATATATTATATATAATAATATAGAGACCAGATATCAAATGTAGGAACTTTGAACTCTTGAGGGTCACTCAGTTAGTCAACATTGTAGCATCCCATCCCAACCACAACCTGAGTGGCCTCTATATCTCTTTTTTTGAAGTGGAATTATGCTAGCGATCTCTGAATTATAGATTGACATTCTAACCACTTGTATGAACTAGTCGTAAGTGTCCTGACAGTAGCTAATCCTATAGGTCCGGTCCTTATACACATTTCACTTATAAGGATCTGGGCCAAGGTTAATGTTTGAACCAGGGGCCTCCAAACTCTCTAAACTTAGAGGTTAACAAATCAGTCTGATGCTTTAACCAACTATCTGATCACTAGAGGTTACCTGGCACAGGTCTGTTAGCATATAGGTTGACAATGTATGGAATTATCATGATGACTAAATATTACAAATGACCAATCATGTCCACAGTTGGTACATCACAGTATTATTTTAAAGTTGATGTAATATGTAGATATGTATAAATAAAAATGTAAAAAGTTCAACATCTAATGATGGCATTATGATTTGTTGGCACCTCCTGTAGTGCTGTTAAAAACAATTCTAACAGTATTAAAATCCAATGAACATGAAATGTATTTCCCTTCCAGCATATTTCATACCCGGCAGTCCGCCCCAAACCTGATGGGTCACAGAGGGTGGAGGTTCCAGTGGGGAATTATGGCGTCCCAGAAATGATGAAACATGGGTAAGATGTGATGTTAATCTGTAAAATGATAATATTTTTTATCTCTTAGTACGTAGTAGGTTGAATTTGGTGTGGAAAAGTTGAATCCCTAAGGGAATGCAACATTACAGCTTTCACAAAAAATATATCCATGTCTCAGTTTAGAAAGCCTTTCATTATAATGTAAATTTTATAGTCCATTAATGCACCCAAATTCAGTGCATTCTTGACTTTTAATAAATTAGTACATTTGGGAATTGGTGCATCCTGAAAATATGCAATAGAGAACAATAAATAAGAACTACAATTGGCACATTCATAATTTAGTACAATCTTTGAAGTGTTTAAAGCACCAAACGTAATTAAAAGACTAATATAAGTAATAAAATGTGTCTGCCTAAAACTAACCTAGGATTAAAGTCTGAATAGGGAAATATTTTATTTAAGAAATGTAACTCTTGGTACTGGTTTTAAAAAAATCTTTAAAAGTATGTTTTGATTTGTTGTATGCTGCACGTCGATATTTATGTAAAATATGTACACTGGCAGAAATGCAATAATCAGCACAACAGTCGACTGAATAATTAATTTAAGTTTCCAGAATTTAAAACGGTACTAAAGATGAAATTCAATATTTCATTTTTTGAAATAAATAACTTTTTTACCTGGGTTGATCAGATTTAGGTAATGTTTCTTTTCTTTTTCTGCCTCAGCATGATGGAGAATTCATTTTGGAATAAAATGTTTTAATGTATGTATGTTTAATGTTAATGATTTTCCCATTCCTTTTTATAGATTAACAGTGTTGTTTGACATTGCCACTGTTTAAGGAAATTGACAAAAACATTTATGATATGACATAATTTTGGGTATGCCTAGCTTATAAAGCTAGTAAAATAAACTGTCATTCTAAATTTTGTGAGTTATTGATATCATTTACCAGTAAATTATAGATTTCAAGAACGTAGTTTGTATTGTAAGAGTCAGTTTTATTGTTTTCCAATTAGATTTGACAAGAATGACTCCATCTCCAAACCAGTGCATCCCTTAGAACAGTCCGAGAAACAGGTAATACTTCTATTTGTCATATGTAAAATTACATCTTGACTGATCTCATGATTTGTTATTGATCTGCACTTTTAATTGCAATTCATATGTAAATAAAGTTCTTGAAAAAAATGATAGAAATCTACTCTGTTACATTATACAACTTGAAACGAGTGTTAGCACTTTATATGAATTAAAGTTGACTACATATTAAAAACAAAACGCATCTTTTTTGAAAATTTCATGAGTTTTGAAAACCTATGAAATACTGAAAGACAGCTTGTGAACTGGTCAAAGTATTTGTAGGTCCCTTTCAAGAGTGTCTTCTATCGTGATATTGAAATGAAGAAATTTTGATCTGTACTAAGGTGACAGGACCCAAATCAGATCAGTACCCAAATCAGATCACTTTTTGCAAAAATACTTTTAAATCAATAAATATGTCAACAGATCAGTTATAACCATGATGTAACCTTAGAATAGATAGCCATGCACCATTTTTTGTCTACAGATGATTAGTTTTTAAAACGTAATTCAAACTCTAAAGTCAGTGTTTTGTTTACGTTCTTAGAAAATGGCGCGTGCGACGACGATGCATTCTGTTTTGGACTATATAAATAAATTCACTCTAAAGAAAAACTTGTTTTCATATAAATTCCAAAGGTCATCATAAAATGTTAATATGCTGACAAAAACTATTTATTTGAAGTGTAAGATACTTTTTTGTAAGAACACCCATCAATATTTTTCCTTCGATACAACCATAATGAATATAATTCATCGTCAGTATTTTCAATGAGTGATTAACATGATAGTTTGGTGATCCAATTTGGGTACTGTCGTCTTAGATTCAAACAATTTCTTTTTATGAACTGCAATGATTTGCATATTTACATGATAAAAACCCCTCACCTAACACATGTTTCTATTGAATTGCATTCTATATGTCATATTCTTGGAAACTTTGCAGTGGAATGGGAACAAAATGAAGATGGACTTTGCCATGCTACGAAAGACAGAAGGCATCCATGCCCCTCTGAGACTACAAATGGAATTCAGAGTCGCCCAAAGGGTCAGTTTGTATAATGGTCGATTTGAAAGATGGACAGGGTCTTTAGGACAGACCCACAAACTGATTGTTCTAATACCTCCTCTAGCTAGGGTATCAACTAATTAAAGTATTTTATTTTCCTTTTTTACCTGCTGGCCCACAAATTGCTATTTTCAAACTGAAACATTCGTACGAGTCATTATATATTTTCAGGAGTACATACCAGTATATATTATTTTTATGTCGCCGACAGATATGGAGAGGGATGGGGACATATCTATATAGTGTTACGCAGGTCCGTCAAAGTCATGTCCAGAAGGGGTCCCTCAGTAGGTTGATTTTACAGAATTGGAAAATTAATCTAGTCTTCCACTGGAAGACAAAGTTTGATTAAAATTCTGTAAAATCAACCTACTGAACCCTCCCTCTATACATTATATATATAGCTATGTATCTTTGGTTATTGATCCAGATTTAGTGTCATTGCTCTAGTGACTTATTTAGTAATAAATATTGATCAATCTTTATACAAAGGTCAAGTATGAGAACATCTTGAATGAGTTCCGTGTTTCAGGGTTCAAAGGTCCAGACTAAGGTCACTGTTACTACTTATAGAAGTCTGTCAAACAATGACATGGGAGGTGGACATACATGTCTTACAGACATTTCCAAGTTGGTAGATATTGTTTACCACCTGCTGTTAATTTTATCTGGATTCAAACCCCATTACTTGCCATTTCCTAAATATTGTGTATATATGGTTAATTGATCATAAACTGAACTACTCAGAGAGGATTTTCTGTAATACCAAAGATTTGTTCCAGGAATTACGACTACCGGGACTAAAAAGCTCAGGTTTGATGATGGACATTTTAACAGGCAGGGATGAGATGATTGACTTTGATGATATCCTTAACAGTAAGTACAAAAATACTCATTGTGTCACGATAAATCTAACAATATTCTCTACAATTTACTGCTGAAATTGGCGATGTTATCGCCTTTGGTTACATCCTTTTGCCGTTAATACATATTTTTGGATCTGCTCTTGAATCATGTACGCAGTTGACCCGTTATTTGACACCGCGTCATCCCCTTTCGATCGAGATCTCTGACACTCGGTTTAGATAAGGATCACAGACAATGTTAAGGCTTTCCTCTATGAGAGCGTATAGAACTAATTAAATGTTCTCCATCAAATAAGTTCCATAATGATAACAGTTCGGGATTTGAAACACTGGGGCATCTCGGGGGAGAAATCACATACTTAAAGGAACAGCAATTTTGTTTGAAAATTCTTTGACAAAAGAGTAATTAAAATAAATAATTTTATATGTCATTCTTCAAAAAAATATTTAGCAAAGAATAAATTAGAACTTAAGTTATCAAATTTATTTTTAGGGGTATAAATGTAATTTTTTGTAAGAGGTTTTTGTTTCCCTTGTGATGACCTCAGAAAGCATGGAGACTGCTATGGCTGAGAGGCTAAGTACCTACTTCCGTAGATTGGGGAAGGAGTACGTTTCCTGTTACACGCTAATACGTTTGTAGGTCACCGGCTCTGGGTCTGACAGGACAGTCACACAAACATTCAGTAGCTTGTTGGTATATTAATAACTTTTCAATAAAATTATAAATGATGGTTTTTGTCCCCCGCCATGAACATAGTTTCAACTTATTGTCGGGCAGGTGGCCCCCATACCTTTTCACATACATTCACAGAATTGAATTTGACAGCCCATGTGCAGTACATGGTATATTTGTACTCTTCAACATAGATTATGCCAATTGTGAGAAAATAATCTTCACAATATGTTGTATTAATCCTGCACAAGCAGCATTATGTAATAAACATGCAAAAAAAACAAATGCCCAAAAAAATATGTTTCTTCTTTGATTGAATCCAAATGTTATGTTAAAATTATGTAAGGACTGTGTATTTGACATTGTGTCATCAGTGCGCTGGTGGGAGCTGGTTTAATTCTGGAATTGATCCTTTGCTTGAGGGCAACATGTGTCAGAATTCTGTTCAGGAGCGTCAAATAATTGTACAGACATCGGATAAATCTAGGCATCATTTGGTGAAAGCATCAATTGTCCATGTGAAATAATGGAGTGTTATGTGTTTGTATGTGAAGTGAAATAAATGTGCATTTTAATATGAGAGAAAGCTTCAAAAGTTGCTGCTGTTCAAAAGAAGTGAATAGGGCTTGTATGCATTGTAACATTGTTTTAGGCAAGTAATCTTTCCACAACACACTTAAAACTTGTCAAGTGTTTTTGTTCATTGTGTAGACGTACATGTATACTCCATCTAAATTCTACTCGTTTGAGGAAAGCAGGTTAAGTCGTATACACTTGACTTCGTGGGTTAGAAATCATTCACAAGTTCACGCTGACTTGGTCATCTGGATTGTTCCTTTATATGGTTAAATCTATGCATGTGTAGTACATGACTCGTCATGAAAGCATTTACACGTATGACTGGCCACCTCTTCAACAGAAGATGTGACACAGCTTCCATCATGAGTGTACTGTATATATACACATAATCATCCTGTGTTAAAGTAAATCAGATAAAATAATTCTATTACTTGTATAAACCAGGAACCTGTATAAACAAGACACCTGTGTAACTCTCAACTTTGTGTAAGCATGATATCAGTATAAATCAGTCTACAAGTTACAACCTGTATTAACCAGAAACCTGTATAAACAAAACACCTTTGTAATTCTACAACCTGTTTTAACCAGAAACCACACATATATAAAGCAGACCTTTGGATTTTTTTTGAAACAGAAATATTGGTCATGTTGGTTTTATAGTACATTAGATTTAGATACAAATATGTAATAAAAAAATAATGATTTCTTTTTTCTGTTGTAGATCCTTATGAATCGGAGACGATTGTTGATCATCACGGTCTGATGGAGAAGAGGCTCAACATACTATAGTGCCACCTGGTGGTGGATGTTATTTAATGGACTCTTCATATCATTATCTGTCGTGCTACTCATTTTTGTCAGAATTAAATTCACATTTTTCATGTCATCTGTTGGTTGTGTTGTATTTACCTTTGCATCGAAGAGCTGCCTTCCATTCAAAAGATTTTCCTGAAACTTCGGATATGTTTGTCTAGGACATACCTTTGCTAATATCAAGAATGGCTGTAATTGGGTCCTGTACACCAATACTTAAAAGTAATGAAAAAGAATTACGAAATTGTTTTTCAGGACTGATATAAGTATTTCAAAGGCAGAGTATTCTATTTGGTATCATCAATCCAAAGTTCAGAGGTATCAGGTTCATATTCCAGTCTGGCTGTTCCATTTTGGTGCCCAATTACACACCCCCACTGAAAGTACTAGAGTCTGATGTGTCTTTTTGTTGGAGGAATGTAGAGGAACTGGACTGGGTTGATTACTGGTGACCAGGTAGCTCAATTGGTTACAGCATTTGTACAGAGGTCTCGGATTCAAATCTAGATCTGGACCATTGTATATTTTCTTTCCTGTTACAGTCTGAAGGAAACTATAGGCCTGTTGGTCTATGCTAACAATCAGTACATCCGGTTTTAAATGTAACATTTTTGGTTATAAATCCTGGCGGACCTGCAAAAGTTTATGCAGGCCTTACAAGGCTTGGTCAAGCCTCGCCTGAAAGCAGCATCAGATTACTGGGTCAGACCTTATTTCAGAAACGAAACTCTGGTTCAACCGTTTGGATCGCAATAAACGAAAATGGCCCATGTGAATTTTCACAAAATCCAAGATGACCACTTGCCACGGGTGACCAAGTTTATGAAATATGCCCCAGACAGTGCAGAATCAAGTACTTACCATGACAATCTGATGGAATTGTACAATAACTGAAGGTCAAACCTTGATTTAGGAGGCACGGTAGTCTAGTGGTACGACGCTGGGCTCGTGGGTTCGAGTTACGGCACAGCTCTGTGTTGTATCTTTGAGCAAGATACTTTACTCTGCTTGTTCCAGTCTACTCAGCTGTAAATGAGTATGTGGTTGGGCAGTGCTAGAATTGTTGAATGCTAGTTGTTAGCGCCGAAATGGCAGCTCCGGCTGTATGCTCCCCAGGGAGTTGATTAAAGATATTGACTGGTTGCAAAGGCCCTATAACCAAGGATAATAATTTGTGAAACACTTTGAGACGACCTACGAACTAAAATGTGATAAAGCGGTATATAAGAACCTCAAACTATTATTATCATTATTAAAAGTGCTCACTCATTCTTTTTGCAAATAGCAGCAGTATAACAAGGTTTCCATTTATTAATGATATGTAGAAACATTACTTTGAGAAACCGTGCACAGACGCAGTGGCCGAGTGGTTAAGGTGCCTGACCACTATAACTCTTTATCACTGGGTCGAGGCCTACATGGGGCAGTGGTTTTCCCTTGGAACTCCAGCTTTCCTTCACCACCAACGACCAAAGCTGTTAAAAGGACTAACAAACAAACAAAATGAAGTGTATTTTGATGAATCCTTCTTTCCTGTGTAGTTAATTATATATGTTCACAAGCTCGACAAAGTGATCAGAAAATTCCATTGATTGAAAGTATAACAGTGGGACATAGTACATCTTGGCACTTTGATTTCTGACAAAATAATAGTAAATTTTGCAGATTAAAGAAATTGAATATTAAATTAAATGAAACAAAACTCCATTCAGTTCCCGGATACCTGCATGCATTTTGAATGGAAGTTTTGGGTGTGCAGATTGTTGAGGTTCCACAGTTTTATCAAAAACAAAGAATCAAAACAGACAGACCTGACTCAAAACTTTTATTAAGTGTGGCTATTGCTACCATACCAATCTCTGACCCGGTCAGTGTGGATGCTGGTCAGTATCAACGTGTCACATATAAATACACCAAACTCAGTAAAAGCTGCTCTATATCACAAACACAAGTAACAAATTCATCAAAGAAAAGAATAATTAAGAGTTTTGATATGTTTTGTTCATGAAATAATGAATTTGATATATTATCATCCAAAATAATATGTATAAATAGCCTCTCTAAAAACAAATCTGGTTAGCGATGAATACATACGTACCTGGTAACGTACACATATACACACAAATAACAATATACATAAATATATCTATAAACCATGTAATTACCTATAAGGATGGACAAATGCCCCATAGGTAAAAGCTTCCTCATTTTAAGATATTAAAACGTTGGATACAAAGACATTTTTTGTAATCATCTATCCTAAGAATTGAGATAATGACCATTGCCTTTCAAATGCAGTTATCTTTAATTTCACGTAAAATAATTTTTAATTACTGAATTCTAATTTTGAATTTCTTAATTAATTTTTTATCTTCTCGTTGCCCATCTAAGTGTTTTTCTCATCCATTACTTACTAAAGGAAATGCATACAGGAACAAATTTGGGCATTAACTGTACATTAAATTTTTCCTTTAATAAAATAAACGAAGAAAAAAATAGCAAAAGTCAAGTCTTTCAAAGCTAGAGAGGATTTAACTACAGACATCAGCATGCAAGTGAATGATTAATGAGAATCAATTCCTGAAGACTCCCCGTCCCCTTCCCCTTTGGTTAAGAATGTCCCTCACTCTATTCCTAATTAGGTACCTGTCCACAGAAAAAAACGAGATAAGTGCCTGCCCAATTTTAGGCAATTTCAAATCAGGGTACATAAAAAAACCACTTCCATTTAATGGAAGAAACTTCCATGGTGGGAATCTTTTCTTAAAATTTTCTATTTACATTAATATATAACTATATAGTATATACACCGACAACATGTCATAATCATGTTGTCTACCTCAAACAGTTAACACGAAATTGTGTTTACATCCTCACCATAATCTTGCATCATCAATACTTGAAGTGGACCCCAGTAAATTATAAAGAGGAGCAAGGCATTAAACTACCAGAGAGAAGATATATAATGTCAATCATACTATCTCTAAACTACACAATGCATAGTGCTCCATTGAGATGTTGGACTGCAAGCGTTATATCTTCTTAAAAGAATACAAAGTGATCCAAGCGTAATATTGTTTTAAAAGAATACAAAGTGATACAAGCGTAATATTGTTTTAAAAGAATACCAAGTGGAATACTTTATTTAGTAATAACAGCATACATCAACCCATTTTATGTTAGGATGCTGAAAACATGACTGTGCCAAGCTATTTTCTTGATCAACTTTTGACCAATCATTTTACAACCTACCTAAAAGTGTATGATAAACACACTTATGAAAAAATATAAAAAATCAATTTCAAAGTATTTCAACCAAGTAATAGGAATGTGATTAAAATCTTATATAAAGCATCCTATCACCTTTGAATTAATTCAAATTCAAATTCAGAGTTTGAGAGTATCCTACATACATATATTATCAAAACACTATCCTATGGTAATAAGTACCTAGTGAACAAATAAATCTCAAATTTTATAGCAAGTAAAAAATAACATCTTTACAGACTTTCCTGCTTTATAACTTTTTTTTAATTATAAAAAAGAATACAGAATGTTTCTAACATTAAGTTTTTATCAGGGTTTTTTCAACATTCATCCTCTGTCATCAGTACTGTGAATTATGAGTAAATTTTCACATCCTTTTTTGCTCCAGTGAATTAATTATCAGAAGATTATACTATTGATCCAGAGATTTTGCTTTGAGGGCAAACAGAGTATTGAAACTTTCCCCATTCACAATAGTTTTAATCTTCTGGATTTAGATCAGAGAACTCGTGCAATGTTGATCACCTACCAGTTTGCTTAGGTCATCAATGACACCAGGTGACCTTTAGACTGAGAATTGATCAAATACAACAGTACATAATTTAAACTTGAACAAATCATAAAAACACCAGTTACGTAACCACAATAACACAGAACATAACAAATTGTCGGTATAAATGTAAAATAAACAGGAGATACCACAGTCAGTAACTCTGGAATGGTAGCGGACATTTTACTGAGCATACATCTCGGAGCCACTGTTAAACTGTTGACATGAGTGTAAAGTGTTATGTACACATATGTAAACTTCATAGAATAAACCGCACATCATGCATTGGGTTTTGTTAAATCAGCAAAATGATGTCACATACTTAAGTACGTAATTTTACATCAGTATAACAGCAACGTCGTGGGAATGGATTAAATCCATGTCACAATCAAAGTAGCTTTTTATTGCAGGATAGTTTAAAAGACAAACTTTTAATTATTAAATAAGATAAATTAGTATGCACATAGCTTTTGAGTTGGTCAATATTGATTCAGACAAACGACGAAAAATAAATTTCAAATAGTATTAAAATAGTCGTCAGTAAATTTTAATATAGACTAGTGGTTATCAAGTTTTAAACATGTAACATTTGGACACCCTAACAAGGTTTAAAGGCATCTTAAGAGAACTACAAAGGGACAAAAAATCCCTCTTGTCAAACATTCACTAGCTTAATCTAATTTGCAGGCAATTTATAACTTGCTGAGTTCTTACACTATTTGTATGCTATCATATAAATAAGTGCAAATTTAAAAAAAAATTGTCTCAACCAAGTGAAAGATGCAATGAATCTGACTATAAGCTTCAGTTCATAATATTCAACAGCTATTGCCCTACAGAGCCATATGTGATAGTAAATTTGTCACAAAGAAGTAAGATTATTACAGCAGCTGTACCACAACTGGCACTGTAGGGCAATAAACTATATTGGCAGTGCCACAAATAGGGCAATAGGTTTTAGTGGCAGTGCCACAAGGGCAACAGGTTGTACAACTCCCTGTTGGCCAACAAGCGGTATAATTATCCCTGTGGGGCAATAAATAAGATTTCTTTAGAGGTTGTGTGCCATAACTTGCTCAACAAGGCAATAATTACAAGCTAGTGAGCAGAGTTACTGAAACTCATCCTACAGATCAAAAGCTTTAGTGGCAGTGTCGCATTGCAACTTGTCCTTAAGAGTAATGATTCAGCTTAAGCTGTCGTGCCATATCTTGCCCTACTTGACACGCTTTTTTTTAGTGATTCTAAATCAGCTACAATTAGTTCTGTACATTGAAAACTGTCTTAATGCATCACACAAGTCTTGGAGAAGTGTTATCCTGCAGACAGATAAATATTATCAATACAGGTGTGAAGCTGACCATCACTAGATTGCCCCTCACACACACACCAGTCTAGTGTCCAGACACACAACACACACACATGCCAAAAGGTTGCCAGCACATTGTCCCTCAGCGCCATAGTAGTCCTCAATACCACTCCTGGTCCTCATTGTGTACACAAACCACTCAAATCTGCTCCTGGACCTCATTGGTTCCACATCTTTCAGTACTGGTACTTGTGGTGCCAACAAACTACTCCTGAGTACCAATCCTGGTATACAGGATGCCAACAGACTCTTCACTACCATTTCTGATCCTCATAGTGTCCACAAACTCCTCAGTACCGTTCCTGGTACTCATGGTGCCACTTATTGAAATCAATGTTGAACACCAACAGACATCCTGTTCCTAGTCCCGCTAGTAAAAACCTGCAAATATTTCAACAAATATTGAAAAGAAACTATATTAAAATTTGAGCTAGCCAACAGTCCCCAGATGAAAACAAACTAGTTGTATGCTCGCCCTAAGATAGAAATAGAAATGCTGATGAGTTTTACTAATTTACATCTAAATTAAAATTTGACAGAAATGTTAAGAACAAACTTGTACAGAACAAACAATAAACAAACTGATATCCTTTAAGCTGGATTGTGGTGTGGCCCATCACAAAATACCATAAAACATGGCAAAACATTGACCAACTGATCTCATGGTAGCCTCAGGGAACTCTTCAGTGATCAGTTTGATGTCTAGGAAATATGTATTCAGAAACGTAATCCCCAATTCCCTGATCATATCTAGAACATTCCACTACCCTCTACTACAAGTCACCTACAACTGAACTCATACAGTTAGGATTGCCAGCACACAACAGTCCAACCTTGTTCATATGATCTTCACCCAACTTAACAACTTTCCTCTGTATCATATTTATGCTCCAATAATCACAGTAACACCTCTCTGAAAAAGTAGGGTGGTGGGCTTAATCCAGGACAATGAAATTGCATTTGTTAGCAACTTAACTGAACTTTGGTGGGCTAATTATATATATATATAATTACTAGGGCTGTCACAATACGCCAAGCGTGTAACATGATATATTGCAATACAGAATGAATATATTGCGATATGTATCCCGATTATTGTCATAGGAAGGATGTGCTCAATTTCAAAATAAGTTGTGGTCAGAATGTTATCAAACTTAATCATATATATGGATTACATAGATTTAAGATTTTTGTCAAACCAACTATCGATTTCAAAATGTTGAAATATTACAAGCCTGCTTTAAGCTTTAAATTGGCATATCTGTTAGAATATGTAGTAATTTGCAAAGTTAAAACACCAAGCAGATACTTAAAAATATGCTTTTGAAAAATATTGCGATACAGCAATATTTTTACTCTGTATTGTGGTACGATAAGGTATACCCGTGTATTGCGATATACCTGTTTTCTGATATATTGTGACAACCCTACTTATTACCAGGCATTGGTTAATTACCGGATTATTACAGTATTTTATTGATGTAGCTATCAGTACTTACTTGTGATCATGAGTGAGAGCGAGCGACCTGATCTCACTATCACAGGGCGGGTAGGCATACAGCAGGGTGAGGTCGTGTGAGCGCCACACCTCCACCACTCCATTGGAACCGCCCAACATCATGTACTGGCCGTCACGACTCAAGATCATTGACTGCAAAAACAAAGAAAACATATATCTTTCCTACCTATCAGTACCTGGTTTGTATGTGGCCATGTGCACGTGCTACACAGAGATATTATCTATATATCTCAGAACATCATATTTAAGGGCTACTCTAGAAATAAATATATATGGCAGAGCAGAAAGACACTTTTTGTGTCTCTCATCCCCTACAACCTTACCTTCAGTTTTAAATTTTTTAAAGCTAACCATTATCTTTATTATATATTAATCTTCAACATTTTTAATACAATGATAATGACAGACTCAATTACATAGTACATAAAGGAAACCAAAGTATATAAAGGATATTGCTTTGAACTTTGCTTTTGCTCTTCCCAAACAGATAGATTCAAATTAATGTTAACAATCCTACAGTACATTCCTAACATCAGTCCATATTAAATTCACTTGTGATACTCACCTGGATGTTATCCTTGTGTCGGACATTGAGAAGTAAGCGACCATTGATGCTGAAGTTGCATATATGACCCTCGTCAAACTTGACGAGGACAAAGGACTCTCTAGACATAGTGATGAGCTGAGGTGTTTGACAGCCCTCGGGGGCCTCCAGTGACCGCAGCAGATCCCCACTCAGGGTGTGCACCAGACATGGACCGTCTGAGGGCAAACACAAATATTTGATTAAGAACTTTATGTCTCAGGAATTTGTCGGTGTCACCAAATATGTTCATTATGACATTTTGTTCTAGTTTTCAATCATCAACAATTTTACCCAGAATTTGTTCTGAAATCCTTTTAAATAGACAAGCCAGTTTAAACATTCTCGCTAGCTAAGTGTTACAATCTGTAGTATGTATACCAGATCATAACCCTTGGCTAGCGAAGACGCAGTTTAAAGCACTATTCTGTGAATTTTCTACTTGATGAATTATGCTGAACTAAAAGAAACATCAACCCATTTCTATCTGATGCCTATAAGTTATAGCAAAATAATCAAATACTGAATAGAAACCACCAGTTTAAGAATATAATTTAAGTTATGTTCTCAGACATCAGGCCACCCGTCTTCCTGTCTTATTGACAGGCTGTTTTCTGAAAGGGACCTATTTTGAAAGGTAATTTTCCACTATATAACCTTAGTTTTGTATCAACTCTGACAGACAGTTTTGTAAAATTAGTTATAATATCAACATTTTGGACAGGGACATTTGAAATTCTGGCTAAAAGCCTGTCTGACATGAATCTCCTTTCAGAAAGAAATTTACAAAGCATTTTGTTATAAATGTTACTTTGGGCTTGGTCAATCAATGAGTAATAGAAAGGTGCACAAGTATACAAGCCATGATAACACTAGGGCCCCTTTCGCATAAACACAAACATATCTGGTTCAACCAGTTGAAACGGTCAAGCCTGTAAAGAAAATGACAGGTGCTGATCTGAACCGAGGCTGAATAAGGAATATTCGGCACAAGTATATGGAAGGGTTCAGACATTCGTGGCTGAAACTAAAAGCTGACTGTCGACTGTCGCTAGTTTGCATTATGTCTATATAAAACAAGGTTAATCCACAAGTATGTTTTAAGATACGTTTTATAATTACGTGGACGTGTGAACGAAGGACATAATCCACAAGTATGTTTTAAGATACGATATATAATTACGTGGACGTGTGAACGAAGAACATAATCCACAAGTATGTTTTAAGATACGTTATATAATTAAGTGGACGTGTGAACGAAGGACACATTATTAACAATATATTATTATAATTTATTCTCAAAAACTGTGCATTTTTTTTAACTCTGCCTATAGTTCGGTCCAAGTGCCTTCGTTTATCGTCGAATATTTCTGCGCCACCTGAACTGTTTCAAGCGAGATATATGAATGCGACCTAGGTAATTCTGAATCAGTGCCCGAGGTTTCTTTATTGAATGTATAATAATGTGTAAAGTAGCTACCAACTTTAACAGACTGATAACCATGTCTGTACGACCACTTACTTTGTGATCCACTCATGACTAGGCCAAGTTCAGCTAGGACGGCGACACAGGTAACCTCAGACTCATGGCCAGTCAATGTGGCCTTGGGGGTGGGGTGCTCCAGACCTAAATGTTAAACATTATGCTATAAAATGACATTTGAGAAAAAATAAATACACTTATAAATAATTACATGTACAGAGAAGCAGAAACAGTATGCAAGATGTAGTACAGATTAGCGCAGTGTAGTCTAACAATCAGTTAGTGCTCTGATCGTATCAGTACCTCCAATTCCTCAAGTATAAAACATTCTAATATCATCCAAATATTATTCACAAGACAAGGACTAAAACAATTTCAGTATTTAGACCTGTCATCCAATAGAACTTGAATGTCAGATGCCTTAACCAATTGGCCAACACGGCCCCATTTTTCCACTCTCTGCAGATTTAGCAGTGTTTGTCATCATATATTTCGAATAACACAATTATCAGGAAATATTTTCACAGACCGACAGAATTTCACCTAAAACTGTTTCACACAACAGTTGAGTAGCTGTGGTAACTTACTGCCATTGTCACCGATAATAGCCATGTTGCGGGCGGTGAACATCCAAACCATCACAGTACAGTCCTTGGAGCCGGTGATGATGTAGCAGTCCTGATTTAGGTTACACTCTGAGCGAGTCAGGCATGTCACCACGTCAAAGTGGCCATGTACCACTTGTAAGATTTTGGCTGAAAACATAGACAACAACATTCAGGTTTACTGGAAAGCAGTAGTCACTCTTAGCTTCTACATTATACAAGAGGAACAATGGGTCGTAAGCTAACAAACAGTCATTTCCTTTATTCTAGTTGACTTTAGGCAATTATTTAAATAAAATATTTTTAATACACATCTTTTTTCCACAACCATTATATATGAAATTTTGCCATGATTTTAACTGATCTCTCACTTAAATTTCAGTTCCTGTAATGCATAACAAGGCATAAAATTTAAACTCTTATTCTTTCCCCAAAAATATAATAACTAACCATAGGCACTCAAGTATTTAAATCAAGTTACACAGATGGTGATTTTCGTTTTTCCTTTAGTACTTTATCAAATGAAATGTTTTTGTTCCTGATACTAACAACAAATCAACAGATCAAAATTTTAGTCAGCAGACTTTTTGTGCTATCTATCAATAAACAACAATGTAAGAAATGGCACATTTTACCTGTTTCAGTAGAAAATAGACGGAAGCTTTTGTCCCAAAATCCACAGGCGAAGATGAAGCGGTTGTCAGCAGATGTGGTAAAAGAGGAGTTTTGTGCCTTCAGCCTCTCGTCAAAGTTATCCCCTAGGGTGCGCCTCTGTAGGCCTGTGTTGAGGGCTGCAACACAACCAGTCAATGTAAACATTGGTATGGTGATAAATGGGAATTTGTCCATTAAAGAATTTGTGAACCAAGCAAACAACACTAACTTGATATGTTGACTTATTCATAAGTCCAGAATTGTACATTAAATTTGAGCTGTTTGTCAGAAACTCGAATAAATGATTTTCTTATTTTTGTCCAACTCTGTTCAAGCAAAACTACCTGACCCTATTTATTTTCTATTGTTGGAATGATTCATCTACCTGTTAACACAACCATTTTGTAAACAAACCAAGTTGATCTACAATTTAACTACAGAGCAGAAAAGCCTTAACTGAAGCCCTTAATAAATATCTTTCTGACCATCAGGTCCTTTCGTATTTCTTAACTGAACAAATGCCAATCATATTTATAACAAGAGATCCCAGAGGGATCTTGGCGCCCACCATTGTACCATCTTCATTAGTTCTTTGTCAGTTCGATCTTTTCTCTTCTTTTCTCTAATCTGTTTGATCGAGTCATATTAACAGTAAATTCACCTTGAGGTAACTTTTGATCTTAACTTAATACTGCTGTGTATAAAAGACAACCTTCGAAGTGAGTTTGTCATTTCACATATTAACTAGTACAGTACTTTGCAATATGAGAAAGATCTGTTTAGTTCTTTCTTCAGGCATTTGTTTTTATGATCAGTCTCAAAATATAACATGCACAACGAGGGATCAAGAGGAACCTACATATCAAATTTGAGAAAGATCCCACAAGTTATTCCTGAGAAATAGCACAAAATGTCAAAAATTGAAGATGGCCGCCATCAGATGATGATGGGCTAATAAGGAGCCCTAGTAACAGTTTCACTGTTAAGAGACACCAATACAGTAAGTTCCCCTCTCGCAAACCTACCGAGCAGCTGGTCCATTGACAGGGGCAGGTTTGCCTGAGTTTCTGGCTTCTCTGAAGAAAAGCTTGTTGGTGTGCCTTGTTCTATAAAAACAACAAAAGGAAGTTCACAATATTGAAAGGAAATTCATGAAATTGAAAGGCACTTTGGTTCAATAACTTGGAAGAAACTTAGCTCACAATTTTTAAGTGAAAATCACTCTACACAGCGGAAGGGAAGTGTACTTCATAAAACTAAAAGTACAAGTGATACATTCTGAAAGTAATTGTCAATATGCAGTGTAAAGTTTTTAGTCAAAGCTTTGACTACATAAATCTGTACCTAGATGCACAAATGGCAAAGTACACTTGTACAAACTTAAAAAAATTTAAAAAATTGTGCGTGATGTGGTTATCTTTTGTGAGACATACGCTGGTAGCTGGGGTTCCACTTATTGATGGCGAAGTTGTGGCTACAGGAGATGGTTGTGACGGCGGGTACAGGGACGGCAGGGTGAGAGTTGGCAGCCACGTAAGTCACTGGCGAGTTGGACAGGAACTTCATAATCATACACACATCGTCCTGTACGGTCGAGAACATCATTGGAGTCTGCAAAACAAACATATCTCATTGTAAGGATGATTTCAAAAACATAATTCAATGCATAATTCAAGGATATTCAGAAAACAGGAAATTTCAGACTTATCAAACTTAGCACATAATAGGAATCTATCATAAGCAAGCAACCTCAATGGTAGTTTATGTTGTATATGAATTTGACAAGCAACCTGACTGTTAAAAGTATGTTAAAATAATGAAAATGCAACTTTAAAAATACATGAATCTAACATTTAACACTTGAATTTTATTGGTTACAAACTATATGATTTGAGGCAGGAGTCATTAGTACATTTCAAAATGTTTCATGTTGACAAGGTATATGTAACAGCTATAGCTTAAAATTGCAGGGCTTGTCCTATATCTAACAATGACATGACCAGCAATTAAGCTCTACAATTATAGCTGATCAAATTCTTAAAACAATTCATTTATTTTGTGCTCACAACCACCACAAAGATAAATTTTATGTTTACTGTGGAAAGAAAATAACAAATTATAAAGATGCTAATTGTTGATAAACCATTCCATCTCTGATAAATGCAAAAGAAAGCAGCACCTCTGAACTGAGACTAAAAAGAGAAAAAATTGTGGGTAAGGACATTTTCAACTAGAAAATGTCTGTTAGACATTAATGCCCTCTCTTGGATGGGACGCGACGCGACAGGGTGGGACATGATGGGACTGACATGGGCAACACTATATGCCCCCCCCCCCCCATTTTATGGCGGGGGCATAATTAAACAAGAGACACATGGGGTCTGTTCTGGTGTTCTCTACAACACTAATAAAGGAAATTGACCAATCCCTAAACCCATTTTATAACTCGATCATTTCGTTTTGTCCCTTTTTTGACAGCAAATCCTGGATGTCAAATAAGCGTCAATTTACATTCCAAGGACAGCAAGCTGTTAACTACATCAAATATTCTGAGCCCATGTTCAGTATATAAATATAAGGTAGCATTCTAGCCAGACCATCACCTGTTTGCATAGAGGGTCACAACACAAGCATAAACAAAGAATGGGAAAGGAGGAGAGGTAACCACAAGCTCTCATATCGGCCTACTGTAAACAAACAACCTAACCATGATTGGAAGTCATTCCATTCCACTAATGATAAATTAATCAATCAATAGAACATCAAAAAGATCCACCATAAAATATAACACTGTTAAATAGTCTGAGATACAAATCTCAAATTATTTGAATTTTTCATTCCTTTGGGTCAAGCCTACCTGCTTCCCCAACCGAGTTTGACACTGCCATCAGGGCTATTGTGGTTAAAAATCTACCCAACAATAAATCACTACTATCCACAGCTGGGTTTCCTGTCTATTACTTAAATGTGGTACCCATGACCCATATAAAAATTTCGTGAGAAGACAAGAGAGAACATTGGTTTGCCGAATACCAGATCTACTTATGAAATTATAGTCTGTAGCATATTTTGTTTCGATGCAAGTACCACAACCACTTTCACAACAAAGAGAAAGAGATGGATAGGATAAGAAACAAGACCTTATGTAATATACTCCTTGTTTTTTTGTATTTTTCAGTAGCCTGCAATAAAATTCGGTCAAAATGTTTCATAATTTCATAAACACCAATTTCATTTCCATTTAAACAAGCTAAAACCAGATATATATTACTTTTTATTCTTCATGACCACACTTTTCTACTTATTTTGGACTTGAAGATAAAGAGATACCAAATATACAAAACAATGTATTACAGCATTTAAAAGACTTGAAATTTTAAGAACATTAACCTGAACTTCGTCAATAATCATGGACTTGGGTTTAATATTAATTGGAGATATACATGAAAGAGGTATTAAAAGATTGACAAGTAAATTAGTTTTAAAACCATAACAAATGAGGCCTGATGTCAAGGTTAGTAAAAGCTATGTATGGTTGATTAAATCAAAAACATTAGAATAAAAAGGAATGTAAAAGATCATACCAGGTGCATCACAGAGCTCCTTGGGGGGTGAGGTTCCGTCAGTAGCTGAGTGGGCGTCTGGCCAAAACTACGTATCTGGTTCTCAATTGCCTGAAATAATATGGAACACAATCGGATCAAGTACAGTTAAATCTGTCTATAAAAGTCGCCATGGCAAGAGGTATAAATATTTGTAGAAAATTGATGCCCATTAGTATTTGACATAATGTATTCAAAAGTATTGATAGCTTGTTTTAACATACTTTTTAAATGTACCATTTTCGAGTGTAAATCCTGGTGGACCTGCAAATGCTTATGCAGGCCTCGTAACGCTTTGTCAAGATTCGCCTGAAAGCAGCATCAGATTGATGGGTCCGACCTTATTTCATAAACGAACAACGTTAGTCCAACCGGTTCAACCGTTTGAATTGCAATAAACGAAAACGGCCCATATCTCTTCTTCTAAACAATTAATGCACTTATACTTAAAACATTTGTAGAAGTTTTTCTATAAATTGACATAAATTTTAGGGTATCAAATTTAAACAGATTTAGCACATTGATAAATTGGTGCACTCACAATGTATGCAATAGGAAACAAAATACAGACACTTCAATTTAGCGCAATTGTAATTTAGCACCATATTTGAAAATTCTTTAATGTTTACAATATCAGGATTTTATTTGTTAGCCATACCTCTTTCATGACAAGCTGAGCCATTGATTGGAGGTCCTTTTATAAGAAGTTGTAGATCAAAACGAGATCTAGACTTTTTTGGTTTGGTTTAATTTTATATTGTGTATTTCCTATAAGGAATGTGCCTCCATGTGTGTTGTGTATGCATGCATGCGATTATGTGTGCTGGAGACAGGGTATGTTGGTGTAATTGCCTTCTTGTGATAGCACAGATCTGATGCCGACTTTATAGTGCTATCTCACTGAAATACCCTGCCGAAAGCACCTAGCACAGCATTTTTCCCGGTCACATTATACTGACAACAGGTGAACCAGTTGTTGCCATTCCCCTAAATGCTGAGCGTTAAGCAGCGATCAACAACTATCATTTTTAAGGACTTTGGTATGTCCCAGTGTGGGGACAGAACCATTCAACATGTTACCACCCACTTTAATGACTGTGTCGGTCACTGACAGTACAATCAACATTTGTTCATGAGAAGATCCGTAATTTTGTGGACGAACATACCTCTTTCATGACAGGGTCTGTCATTGATTCCAGGTCTACACTGCCCTCGTACGTCAGGTAATAAAATACATTGGTGGATCTCACTGCCTCGGGTCCTGTCAACACATCACACAAACAAGAGATTAGATATACTGTGAAATTTCAGATTTCTCCCTGCGAGATTTTCTACTTTTAGATAATTCCAAAGACATTGCCCTAGTGGTGAATTCCCTCTCCTAATGTTGACTTAACTTAGTACAGTAAAAGTACAAAATTTTAAGCAGATGTTTTTGCCAATATCACATTTACAAAATTGCAGTGAAACAAAACTTGCATAAAAAATCTCCATTTTCACAGTTTAGTAGCATTCCTCAATTTGTTTATGAGTTGAAATTGCCCACTTGATCAAGGATAAATGACAATAAAAGGATGCTTTAAAGCAAATCTGGTTGATTAATCATTTCTATGTATGGACCAGAATCTAAATCCCCAGGGAAAAGGCACATAGTGCCAGGCAAGCTAAAAAGTTCAAAATTATTAACAGGTAAAAATTATTGTTTTACATGATGTCTGATAGAACAATATGAAATAGGTGTACCTCTTTGTTTGTATCCAAATATCAGGTCAATCCAGTGGTGTAGTTGACAGGACACAAACTCAGATTCCAGGGCCTGAAACATTCAACCAGAATGAGTTAGAGATTCTGAAAGTCATTTTCTACAGGATGTACTTTCTCGAGAAAAGACAGCGATACCTGAAACTATAGACCACCAATGGGAGTCCAAAAGTGTTTGGGAAAATGAAAACTTAGAGACTAGTTTCACGATTATCATTTAAAATGGAAATTTGTATTAGATCTTATAATGAATATATCATTTTTACCTTCAAACAGCAGAAAATTTATTTCTGTACATAAATATGACATAATGTTGATATTCAAACAAGATTTCTCACCATCCTGTTGGTCCTGATGAAGTCCTCAGGACTCTTCGCCCAGGGCGGCATGATGACATCCTTCACTTCCAGTCCGTCATCCTGTGTGCCGAGATTGAAGCCATTCTCGTTGACCAACATCTCAGGGAGGAAGAAGTGCTCCGGAATCAACTCCTGTGTACACAATAAAAATAACATCTATCGATTTAGATTGAAATCATCCTTATCTACAACTTTCAAGTTTGATCTATGGTCACAATAATGTTATTACCCTTGCACATACAATAGAAATTTAATTAATTAGCATATTTAAATGACTTTCAAATTTCTGCGATTCAAAGAACCTGTCAAGTTTATTTTTAAATACATAGTCAAAATCAAGAAAAATGAGTTGTTTACTCCTATTTCAATATTTGTGACTAAATGAATAATCACTCATGATGGAACACAACTACTGATGTTATAGGTGTGGAGAAGTCAAGCCGACAACAGATAGTTTCAAATCATACCTTGACATCCGAGGTATCACGCTGGCAGTTCTTCCAAGCTTGGGCAACAGAGAAAAATGTCCGGTTTGCATGATCAAACTTGCCTCCTTGCATATTCAAAAATATTGTTGTAAACGGCTCCTATGATAACAGAAACTAAAGTTATATTGGGTGAAAAATGGGAGAAAAGCACAATTTTAACTCGGTAGTAATAAAACATTTTTTTCCATTTAATTACTGACATGTCAAGAATAATACTGCACTGAGTGAAATTTTCGGAGTGATTCAAATTAATATGAAATATGATGCAGACAATACACAAATGTTTGTATTTTTTTCTCTAAAGAAAACAGCAGTTAAATTTGTTTTTCCCCTTTCAAGAGACCAAAGCTATAAAATATAAATTTATACTAATTTTGTTAATTTGTTCACAACATTGCCAAGATCTTTGTGTAAGAGGACGCACCACTCTAATGAGCCAATTGAGAGTGAACGCTGCCGTAGAGAAGTGTGTTCCATAGTGGAAAGGTGGAATCTGGTCATGTTCCCATGTCTCATATCGCTCATCAAAAAACTCCTTCCTCGTGGGATTCAGCGCCCCAACAGGCTGAATTAGAAAAGCATCATTGCAAATTTAGCATGAATTTCTCAAGTTCAGTATTTCGATGGGCTACGGCAGGCAGGAACAATTCGTATAGCATGTATCACTAGTCCATCAACAGAACATATCATTCTTTTTTTTATATTTTACTACAGCCAAAGGCGTTTAGCACGCCCATAGTCAAAGATCGATTATAACACCTTTAATACAGTGACATTTTTTCAGTAAAATTATAATTTGTTAATCAAGACAAATTAGTATCGGATAAAAATAAACACCAAACAGGCTAATAAAGGGATATTTATTAAATCCTGGAATACAAGTATCCATACAGCAACTTTAATGGATTTAATGTACTAAAAGTCTGATCTCAACTGGCCTACCTTGGACAAATCCCTGAAGTTGTTTGGTTGACCCAGATCTAGTTCCTCTGATTCGTAATTAACTATCACCCAGGGAAAGACTGCATACTGGTTCAAATCATTGTAAGTACGTCCTGTAACAGTTATGTAAGACATGCAGTAAAAATGTAAAGCACTGAATACAGTCAGACCTTGTTACTGTCTCCCAAAAATGTTGTTTAGGTATTTCAGTTTATTCCTAAGCAATTTAATTTATATATTTCAAACATCAATGACCTTGATGTAATAAGGTTTGACAGTATATATATATAACAGAAATGTTCAGACAGCATGAAAACATTGATACAAATAATAATGTCTGTTATATGTATTTTGAATTAACCTTTTCACCACTGTAGACCACAATGGACTCATCCATATAAATACATGGTAGAGTCTACTAAAATTACATAGGGGTGAAAGGGTTAAGTCTTATCAATTTTACAAGCGGTAGAATGAATAGTTGCCTCCCCTTAACTGTGACATCAACTTGCACATGTGACCTTACAACTTTTGCTGCTATTTTCTCATTATTCAGTTTAACATAACCACATATACAAAGACTTTTGTCAGAAACAATTTATCTCATAATTATCCTACATTTTGTCAGACACCTTGCCTCACTAACGTATTGGACTTTGTCAAGAGACAACTGCAATCACCAACTGGTTACAGGTGAAGTGGTAAGCAATTAAGTCTTTGCACACCTATAAACTATTAATATTATTCATAATTTATTCTTATACTCACCCGCTATTGTGTTTAGGTACATAAGGTAATCAAAGTTTGAAATCTCCCGTCTCTGCCATTTCTGGGTCATACATGAAAGTTTGAACAGCTGCTTTCCTGATGCTAGGGACATTCGCCTGTATTTTAAAATCGACACCATGCAAGACACTCTTCCATAATAATTTGTATTAATGATGAATGAACAGTAAAAACTTGCCTGCATCTCTATTCTTTTCCAGCTGACATAAAGCACAATTTCTCAACAAATCTATACATCTGAATGAATTGCTTCTTTTCTAAATAAATATTATATTTTAATATAATTATACACCCATTCATATACTTTTTCCACAAATCTATTTGTTTAAGTGTTTAAAATAATATTTTCAACAGGTCTTCCCCCTTTCTCACTACAGTTACGATGGTGTACTGAAAATTGCCACTCCCCCTAAAATTAGAAAAGTGCTAGTCTAACTAGATTCCCAGAGTTGTCTACCTTTGCCCAGTAGCTGAAGCTTTTCCCAGTGGCTGATTCTATCTTGTACTACCTACCTGGCCTGAGGGAGTCCGTATTTGACCCCCACTCCCACACGAGGTAGTGCATTGATGACCTTTTTGACTGTAGCATGGTCAGGGAAGGCAAACATGACTGCCGCTGTAAATTAGACAGAAAACTTTGAGAATACGACACCAATAGTTAATACAGGTCAAATTTTGTTGAAACATATTTCTGTTATTTTGATACTATTGCAAATAATGATTCTTTTATGTAATAAATGTAATGCCAATTGAATTCAAGACCTTGCCATAGATGACTGTCATGTAATGAATTAATTGTTATAATTGTTACTCTGCTATATACTGTAATTATAACTGATATGAAATAAGTACAATATCCATCTTACAATTTCTCTGTATAGAATTCAAATCCAAAATGGCCACACCCAGACGTGCTTAACGGAAACACCATACAAGTTTCAAGTTTTTCTTTTGACTAGCAGGTCATGTACTTACATCCATAAAGCAGACAATGCAGAGTTCAGAGAAATAGATTTCACATAGAAATGGGTTTTTTGGCAATGTATAAGAGATTGATCTGAAATTTTAAAGCACCTGTTCGATTTCGCACTTACCATGGTTTGGAAAATATGTTAATGGTTTATATTCATATATCCAAACTATGATATCTACAAAATCCAAACTGGTGCTTTCAAATTCCATCAGTTCAACTACTGCAACTTTGTTAAAAGATCCAAACTTTTGTAAATTTACATCTTTGAACTTAAGTCAGATATATGTTGATCATTGATCACAGTACAATGTCTAAAATTTGTTATGGAAAGAAAAACAAACATGAAAACTTGTGGGGGTGTTGCCATTAATCGAGTCTGGTTGTGACAGAGTCGGATCTGTCTAAACAAATATCTACCGCCATATTTTCCATACAGTGAACTCTGTATCCTTCCAACAACATACAAGTAATACAGCATACGACATAAACATACAAACCAAATGCTATATATCTCTACTGGAACTGTTGCTTACTTCTATTTGCCATGAAGATTTCAATAGCCACATTCTGTAGGAGATATTGGCGTGAAAATATTGCTCGTACTTCGTTGAAATGCCACCGTCCATGGAGATGTTCCACATAGGACAAAACCTGAATACAGACACATTGAAACTTACTGATGCTTCCAAAGCCAACACAAGATATCATTTAAGACAATTTTATCTCATACAAACTTAAGCCGTTTTCCAGCTTATTTAATAAATAATCAATTTTCAAACTCTACTTAACAGTCAATGTTCATTAAACTGAAAATTTCATGATTTCTTATTTTATCAAAGAAATACATGTTGTTATGCCATATTATTTAAATACATTATGCACATGTATCATAATAAGAATGCAACTTATTCAGTTTAATCTAGAAGGCATAATTCATTATCTAATATTTAGATAATTTGATGAAACTACTATATAAATGCATAGTCATGTTTAAAACAATATTTCAATTCATCAAATTGACGTGGACAGAACGGCACAAGGACAAACACAGGACACCACCGATACAAAGCATGTTATTATGTTTACACCAAGGAATTCAACATCTCTAATCAACCATCAATGTATCATCAACAATATTCATAAAAATCTCAAAATTCAGTTATTGAATAAGCAAATATCAATCAATGAAAAATTAAACAACAATCATCATATATAAATTCAATATTCAAATCAATGAAAATTATACAACAGTCGATGAATCATCATATATAAAATTGCAGAGACCTAAAAAAAGAAACAATATGTATCATTAATATTACTGATTTATATTATGTGACACAAGAGATTATTCTGAGCAAACAAATGTAAATAACACATAATTAAACAAAGTGTATAGTGCCACAGCTGTTTGGGTGACAGATACACCCGCGAGTGTACGAGGTAGTATACATTACATTGATGATGAGTCAACCTCCTCCTCCATGATAAATATCTGAAATGACCAAGAAAAAGACACCAATAATAGAGAATTTATACAACAAAGTAGACCATAGTAAATTAATGTCATTAAAATATAGAGAACTGACACAACAAAGTAGTCCCATGAAAAATAATGGCAATATCAATAACAATTTACATGTAACTGATCAATACAACATTATCAATTTCCTTTTTTATCAAATTCATTTGACATAATTGCGAGTCACAGAGGGGCCTGGACTTAAAAACTCTGTGTAATCAAGACTAAGACAACCTTGTTTTCCTGGTATAAATGGTCTGAAATTGTTATTGTATCTTTTCAGAAAGAAATATCTTCTTTTCTGGGCTATGAGTTAATAAATGTACAAATTTAAAATATAACTGATAATGCATCACAACACTGAATCATAATAAAGATCCTAATATGTATGGACATGTCATTGTTAACATGCCAAAGTTGAAGTGCATTGTATCTGGACCTGTATCAACATTCAGACACAGTGATCTGTCTACTTTTATTTCTACTCTGCCTTACAGTGATGAGGTTCGAAACCTATAAAATCTGTTATAATATCACAAACCTTGGGCCATTTCAATACTGTACAAAGAAGAACAGTTAAACAAGTATGTAGCTTGGAATCTGAGTAAGTTTCAACATATATCTTACAAAAATAAAATTCCTCCTTGTCCATTACATTTTACCAGAGAAGAAACAGTTTTTTTTTTTATTAAATCCTTGAAAAACAGATAGAATCATTTTCAACCAATGGTATCCTATATAATAACACATCAAACTATAAAACATCAATAATAACAGAGCAGACGTCTAGATGGCACCAAATCATCATACATTATCCTAACAATACTGGTAATCTACAATCCCACCAGACAGCGGCTCCTGCATCAAATCATTATAAAATTGTCCCAGCAAAGCATCAACTATCAATCATGTCTTTACCCTGGTAAAATAAACTAATGCCACTAAATGCAGCACTTTCTGCTTAACCTTCCGCTGGCAAACCCCCCGAACAATCATCATCATTTTTCGCTTTTATAAATCAATTTTGTGTAGTCTAATCAATTTTATGCAGGAGGCTGCCAGTAAAACTGCAGCTATGTAACGTTCATGAACCGTGGCTGCATCCCCAGGCCAGTTTTCCGAGAAATGAAACAGTGGCGATATCGCCTGCCATAACATGTACATTGACGGAGGCCGGATCCACCCTAATCAAATAATCCCACACTAATTAGATTGTAAACAGGATCTCCTCTACGATCCTCTCCAAACAAAGTCACATGGGCATAGAGAAATAATAGGTTCCATTATTACCCTGCGATGACTAGAGCAGGTCTGTAATTAAATATTAAAAAGCCTTTTGTTCGCCAAACACTGATGGCCAGTTTGTGGCTCCAGATCTGTAGAACAATGGCACACGCTCAATATAGGCACAACTTTACAGCCAGATTGATAGAATGCCTAGATATTTACTCTGGAAATATCCCTGACCCATAAAACACTATATGAATAACTTCCTCTGTGAGAAACTTTTCATATTATCAATTTTTTTCAATTAATTACATAGCAGGGAAATTCCTGGAATTTGAGAGCAACACACCATTATCAATATTTTTCAGTAAATACCTATCAAATTTAAGAGTGGGCATTCTATGTAAAATTCAAGTTGGAACATGGAGGGGTCAATTTCAGTTTTGAGGGGTCAATGGCTCAATGGCCCCTCCAGGATTATCCCTGACATAAGATTAATTTTCAATAAAATTATATTTGTGTTTAAATCAATGCACTATCATTCCATGAACTACGTATTTTGGTAAATATTATGTAAGCCAATATATGTATATATTTTTTAATATCAAGACACATTTCCAATTCTTACCAATTTGGTAAAACAAAAGGCTAATACTGGTGCTAGCTGTACTTCTTCTACCACTCCAGGTCCAGATGTTTTCTTCTGGTAAACACTGCATCATGACCCCACTGAAAAGACACGTAAATTGTACAAACGTTTAGTAAACTAATTATGTGAATGTTTAACTAATTATGTGAATTTGCAATAGTTAATCAGATATTCAATAACAGGCAGCTGAGGCTTGGACAATATTTTGTCTGAAATGCGGTAAAATGCATACTTGGTACTACCATGCAGGTATTGTACATATTTTAGACTTTTATTCTGTAATTGCTTTCAGTGTTTGTGGAAGCTTTTTTTAAAAGCTGGGTCCCATGCAATATCATAATAGGAATACAACACACCTTTGAAATGTTATGGAGTTCCCTGTAATATTTTGGTTTATTTAACACGTGAACATTATCAACAAAAAACACCTTTAAACTACACAGTGCAAATCAGGTTAAATGTTTTTTTTTTTATATAATCTGTCTTTGCTAGATTTTTGTATGTACCCGATTCTAGTACCCTGTACCCCGTAAACTGTATTTTCACAGCACAATACATTTGATACCATGTGTATCTTGATAGACATATCCGACTTTAAAGTCAGTTTCACAATACATGTAGCTTTACGATGTAAATAGTGAATACAGTTCAAATATATCTTTTTTTTTTGAGCTGTCGTACGTTTTTGTATCACTGCACAGTGGATAACATCGTTTCTGGTGTTTAAAAAAAGAATCAGTGAGCTCACAAATCAAATTTATTTAAACTTTGATTGATAAAACCCGAAATGAAAGTGTATTTCCTTATGCAAGCAAACAAATTGTTTTGCTACAATACACAACAAAGTCTTGCGAATCTTAACGATTCAATGAATTGTTTCAGTATACGCTGTACCCTGTACCCCTGTACCCCGATTCTTTTTTTACATATACCAAAACAAATCTTTGTACTAATAATGATTGCATTACAAAATCATAACAGAACCATTTCCAGCATATGATTTTAAATTCCAAAACCAATTCTGTTCTGCAAGGTCTGCCTGTATAGTGAAAACTACATTAACATAGACAGGTCCCTGTGGTCATAAATCTCCTCGCGCAGAAATAAATTTTCTATGAGAACAAATACCAGTAAAGTATAAGACTATACTGCTCCAGCAGTGTTACGCTTTAATTAATAGTCACAGCAAATTCTGAAAATCGATCAATGTTCTCTTGGGATGTATGAAATCTAATTATGGACATCCTCACCGAGATCTGTTTCATAAAAAGTGGAAAATGACTAACAAATTCTGACACATCTCAAATTTATGGAAAATTCTTCCGTGTGTGTGAACGGATTCAGCATAAAAACAAACACGTACCCAATGAACCAGTATATTTTGTGTCTTCATGCTATAAATCATTAATGTACTCGACACGAAGAACCATTTCATGATTATCCAATTACATATCTGCCATTTGATTAACATTGTCAAATTATGCTCAGATTAATATTTGTAACAACCCATTACTGTTATGTTTATAAATTTCTTAAACCTGTCTTAAAGTATACATACAAATAAATAATTTATGCATGAGATATCAATTATGCATGTACTGCATAGTAATATTCTTAATCAGAGCAAATTTAAAATACATGGCTAGTTTCCCCTTCTTTCAAGGTGGGGGATTTTTTCCTATATTATGGTAAGAATTCGCCAATAAATCTTAAATTTAGTTATTTTAAAGTTAGCTTGGGAGCATGGGAGTTTACGACATACATATCAAGACATGTAATGACTATTACAATGAACCAATGACCTGCCTCCACAACTATTGTCACCAGGCTAGACATTAACGTCTTGGAAAGACACCAGCTATGGAGGTCCGTAGATAACCTGAAATGTGTGTACACTTGTTTCCAGACTTTGTCTGTGAAAGTCAGACGCATCTGTTACACCAGCACCTCAGGTATCACTGCTACAGGTGCACGACCTCACAGAGAAAATAGGAAAACTTATGTCTGGTCCCTGTGCAGGACCCTCTCCCATAATGCCCCAAAACAATTAAGCCACAAACATTTTCAATCATCTTAACTCAGGTGTATCAAATTAACTTTATTCATAAATGAGGAAACAATGTCAGCATATTATATTATCAATGTTTTAATTCAAATTACAATAAATCAACTTATAATCTTTAAAAAAACAAATGCTTTGTTTATTATAAATCAGCAACAATTTCAAAAGGTATTATGTAATATAAAATGCAAGTT